TGTTTATGTAGATGGTAGCGTTAGCATCACCCCCCCACCTCGGCCTCCATATTGACGGTCCTGGATGTCATGCAGGCGGGTCAGCAGCTCTATCCCGAGGCGTTGATGTACAGCTGGCTCTGCAGGATGTAGTCGATGACAGGCTGACTCAGGTAGTCGACGACGTGTCCGTCTCCATGCTGCAGGGCCAGTCTGGAGATCAGGGGGTAAATATAACAGTTAGGGGGGCAGACAACCCTAACCCTAAGCTACTGCAGGAATCAGCTCTGGTCCAGTTAACCAGAACCATTATATGGTTGATTCTGTGATCACAAACAGTGAAATGAACCAAACATTAACCGTTACCTTCACTCCTCCCTTTCAGTCTTTATAATTTTCCTTTGAACTTATCTGTAGAGATTTAAAGATTTCATATCAACCAGCAGTGGAAATCCTGTTTTACAGTGTAGTTCAGTTTTTGTTGCATGTTTTTCAGTGATAGAGAAACTTTGGACTTTTATGGACCGTAAATTGATGTTTCAGAGACGGTCGATCGATGGACAATCTGGATATGTTTCACAGAAAGTCAAAGTAATTGGACCAGGACATCAATAAGAGCATCGGCTCCGTCAGTCTAACTTTTGGCCCACCTGCTCTTGGTGGAGCTGACGATGGACATGGGGTGGTCGGTCGCGTCCTTCACCACGACGATGTTGTCCTGAAACAAAGATCTCAGATGTCAGCAGACATTCACTGGACTTTATGACGAAGCAGAAAAGAGACAAAACTCAGAGACGATGACAAAGTGTCCAGTGATTCAACATCAGCCTCATTCTCTCCAATCAGTATTTTGTCCCTCTTGCTGCACCACACTGCAGAAACTCACCTTGTACTTGCGGAGGATGGAAGAATGATTCATGATCCTCTCCGTGTCGACGCCGTCACGAGGGACAACTACGATCCCAAAATCACCAACAATCACCTCCATCTGAGACCAGAGAGACGGCATTCAGGGTCCAGAACCTCTGACAGAACCAGGCTCAGGCCCAGACGGTCCAACCGGGTCGGACTCATCTGAACCTCAGGGTGGAGCCGTTAGTCAGTCCTTTCAGAAAACCAGCTAAATAATCCTGGCTTCATCACAAATTAACCAGCAGCAACAGACAAAATCATCAAATTCAAAGCTGTTTACAGATATTATAGACAAACAAGTGGATTTAAAGGTAATTACCCACTTCAAACAGCAGGGGGTACTGTTTCTAGCAATGCACATATTTAGAGAAACATGCTGGATCTGGATCTGAGTTCAGATACACAAACATCTGACATTTAAAGGATCATTCCAGAATTTCCATCTGGAGTTTTTATCACGGACATAAAAACATGGATGGAAACAAATCACCTTCATCTTCTTCCCTGAATGTCTGGTTGAACTAAGAGTTTTTGTTTCTATTGAGTCTCGGCTACCTGAGGGGAGGGGCTACATGCAGCTGGGCGGGGCTACATGTTGGTGGGTGGGGTTATGCATGTGGGTGGGGCTACATTGTGCTTACATCACTGTCCTTCCACAGGCCAGGGATGCAGAAGGACTCCAGGAGATCACTGCCACACAGGAGCAAGATGCGCAACTCTACAGAGGACGGACAGGCAGGGAAAGAGACAGACACGCCCTCAGTAAACATGGCGTTTACTCGCTCAGCGCCACGCTTCCTCCGTAAGCATCATGTTTACTGGATCCCAACAAGACCAGAAGGAGTTCAGACAGGAAGGAAACCAGAGGATCCGCTCAGGTCTGGAGAAAACTCACCGATCTCCTCGTACCTCATCGCCGTCCCCAGGTTGGCGTTTTCATCTGAACACAAACAGAGATTTCACTCTGACCTTTCAACTCCACAAAACCTCCTGTTTCTGCAGCGAGTTGAAACTGCGACATTTGATTAATCAGACAGAACAAAGTCAGTTTGGCATTAAGTCTCTCTTAATAATGACGGTCCAGTTTTAACTGACCGGGCTGGACTGTGGCTCTGACCTGCAGGCATTTCATCTGTTTCAGGAACCTGCTTTGATTCCAACATTAATGTTTTCACATCATCAAACCTCCAGATAAATTCATTCACTTTCCCCGATGAATAAAACTTGTGAATAATTTTTCTTAGGCAAAACATGAAATAAAATCAGATTTTCTCACCAACAAACGTGAAGCGCTCCATGTTGGGTCGGACGCAGCAGATTTTACCCAAACTCTCACTGACCTTCCCCCAAACTTTGACTAGACAGTAACAAAAGGTTCACATCAGAACCGACATGCCAACAGTTTCATGAAAATGATCAATTTATTATGATGTAAAATCAACCAGCAGCAACATCAGGCTCCACTGTCAGAGTTTAACAAGTACTTCATTATTAACAAGCAACATTTCTATTCTTTTCTATTCTAGTTTATTCTACTCTATGCTGCAGCTCTGGTCTATGCTATGTTAGGATGCTACACTATGCTATGCTAGGATGCTATGCTACACTATGCTATGCTAGGATGCTATGCTACACTATGCTATGCTAGGATGCTATGCTAGGATGTTATGCTACACTATGCTATGCTAGGATGCTATGCTACACTATGCTATGCTAGGATGCTATGCTACACTATGCTATGCTAGGATGCTATGCTACACTATGCTATGCTAGGATGCTATGCTAGGATGCTATGCTAGGATGTTATGCTACACTATGCTATGCTAGGATGCTTTGCTAGGATGCTATGCTACACTATGCTATGCTAGGATGCTATGCTACACTATGCTATGCTAGGATGCTATGCTAGGATGCGATGCTACACTATGCTATGCTAGGATGCTATGCTAGGATGTTATGCTACACTATGCTGTGCTAGGATGCTTTGCTAGGATGCTATGCTACACTGCTATGCTAGGATGCTATGCTAGGATGTTATGGTACACTATGCTATGCTAGGATGCTTTGCTAGGATGCTATGCTACACTATGCTATGCTAGGATGCTATGCTACACTATGCTATGCTAGGATGCTATGCTAGGATGCGATGCTACACTATGCTATGCTAGGATGCTATGCTAGGATGTTATGCTACACTATGCTATGCTAGGATGCTTTGCTAGGATGCTATGCTACACTATGCTATGCTAGGATGCTATTCTACACTATGCTATGCTCCTCTACTCCCTCATCCAGTACAGCAGCTGTCGCTCGGTTCCTGGTGCCGGCTGACCCGTGGTGTTGGACTCACTGGCAGTGGGTTTGTGGTTCATGATGTTGTGGTCCTGGTAGATGGGCGGAGTCTGGTTCTGTGGCTGACCAATCACAGGAGTGGTGGAGGGCGTGTTGACGTTGGACAGGATGCAGCCAGTGACTCTCTGAGGGACAGAGACGCTTTAGAGGTTTGAACTAGGCCACTCTGGGTTTCCTGCCTCTGGGTCAGACATGACTCAGATGAAACTCTATGTTTAAAACATCTATAAAGATCAGTAAGATCCCAATCTAAGCAATGACATGTAGAATCTACTGGTGGATGAAACCAGTCCCTGATTTAAACTGGTCTCACTGGTTTTATCTTCTGGTTTCTGTTCTGCTTATTTTATCCAATTATTGTTTGGTTTTATTTTGAGTTTCATAGTTTTTCTCTTTTGTTATTCATTTTAAACTCAGACGGTTTTATTTTCTCTTTTTCCTCCTTTGTTTCTTCACAGATTTTTTTCTCTTTCGTTTTCTTTGTGATTTTGCTCAGCAGTTTTTTTTCTGTTTATAATCTTTTAGGATTTATTTTTCTAGCAGTTTAAGTTTCTCTTTCCAGTGTTGAAAGTTTATCTTTTAGTTTTTACTTGTTTCATCGGTTTTCTTCAGATTTTCTCTGTGGACGTTTCATTTGACCTGTAAGTGAGAAAACGTGATGGATGGCTGCAGAATGAGGAGAAACTGGTAGCAAAGAGACGACAGAAACAGGTGGGATTAAACACCTTTGGTCCCTTGACCCCATGTGACCCCTCATCCATTCATTAGGCCTCATTATTAATCACTTTACAAACAGATGAAAATTCTCCTTCGCTTCATTCAGTGAATGAAATTCTGACCCAAAACCAACATGAATTTATCAGCCAGTTTGAAAGAGTTTGTCTCGGTTATAAAAAGAAAAGTTGAATTTCTGGACGTGATCGCAGACAGACCAGTAAACATGCTGACCTTCATGAGGTCGCGGTGGTGCTCCAACACGCTGCAGGTGGTCTGCCAGGTGTCCTGGTAACACTCCCAGGGGTCCACCCTGCAGGAGCAGCAGCCGCACATCAACGTCAAACTTACACTCCTTCCTCTTCAGCGGAAACAGAAACCAAACCGGGTTCAAGGGATTAGAGGATCACCTGATCCAGTCCGAGTTCTGGACGGCCAGCTGGCACATGGTGAGGCGATGGCGGCTCGACACCAAACCCTGCAGACACAGAACCAACCGTCAGACCCGCAGCAGGAAGGAGGAAAACCTGGAGCTCTGAGAGGAGATGAAACCAGAACCGGAACAGGAACCTCAGCAGAACCAGACGGTTTCAATCTGGACCTGGTCAGAACCAGGAACAGAACATTTCTCTAATTTATCTTTTAAACCTGGAGCTTCCTGTAGATTTCTCACCTGCTGATACAGATCTGATCAAACATGGATCAATAGTTTATGATCAATCTGCTCATCATTCAGAAGAAAGAGAAGAAAATGTTCCTGTTGGAGCAGAAACTGGATCAATAATTCATGTTGTTTCTGAGGAGGCAGAAAGAAAGTAGGACAAGACTTGATGAAATTCTGCAGAACCGCAGCTGCAAACACCGAGGAGAAGAGACACAACAGAACCTGCCAACGGTTCCGATCAGGCTGAGAAGACCCGGTTCCGATCAGAGAGGAACCCGGTTCCGATCAGAGAGGAACCCGGTTCTGCAGCAACTGAAACAGTCCTGAATAAAGATCGGATCGGATCGATCCACATCCTGGTTCTGACTGTAATTCACCT